AGATATATATACATATATATATATATATATACATATATATGTGTGTATACATATATATGTGTGTATACATATACATATATATGTATACATATATATATATATCAAACAAATGTCGGCATTAACACATATAGCTGGAGGGCACCTCAGGATTCCATCATTTGCACATGATTACATATATATCATGTTATTATTAACCAAATGCAGCAATAAAGCTAGCCATAATTTCAAATTTCACTCCAACATTGGTCAAAGATATCAAAACGGGTGACAAACCACGTTTACATCGTGGACCAATATCAAAGCTTTACAGTAAAAGAATAACACAACCTTAATGTAGGCAACTCTTCCAATTTTCATCTCATCACATTGCGAGAGACTAACCATTTCCATTAGACCCAACTCCATAGATTCAAAAATCACCAGTTACATTGTAAGAAAGCCGACATTCTGTTTCAAACAGATCATAAAAAAGGAATATCCGATCCATGCAATGGCCAGAAATAGCAGAAGCAAGACCATCAAATACACTTGCAAACAACAACACTAACAACCAACATAACAAAAAGATCAAAATTTTACACGGCGAAGGAAGAGATCGTCCTTGCAAAGCAAACCATGTCAAGATCTAGCGAAGACCAAAGTCAGAATGCAAAAACCAAAAACATCCTAACAAATGGGTGATGAGATTGAGAGAAAAGGAAAACAAAACTCACAAAGCAGTCATCATCAATGGTGTAGATGTATTTCTTCTTAGAGACCATGTAGCCAAAGCAACGGCATGCAGAGTCTTTGAACGAGATGCAACTGGCCTTGGGACCAAGAATCCTATTGATGTCATTGCGGTTGTAGAGCTCATAATCAAAGCCTTGAGGGACCTTGATGGTCTTTGAAGGGTCACCATCTTGCACAATAATGAGATGGTAAGGCTGAAAGAATGGCCTCCACATCTCCAAGAAATCGAGGTTCCTGATGGTGGGGATCACGATGTCGAGCTCATCTTTCAAAAGGGGTGTTGGTGCTGCCATGGCACTCAAACGGAAACTAAACACAAGGTGGTGTGCGTTTTTCACAAAAACAGAGTTATGTTATGTGTGCGTTCGTTTGAAGATGCAGAGGGAAAGGACTACAATATAGACGAGTGGCACGTGCGAATCCACTGTTTTCGGCACGAGTTGGGGAGCTTCCACGGAGACGTGTTTAAATGTTTAACCTGAGAGGACTCCTTCAATTTCTAACGTTGTTGGTGTGTGTTTGCCTTACGTTGATAACTAAATCTATAATTTTATTCAGATTACATTCTGAAGTTTAGAAATAATCCTGATTAAGTAATAATCCTGATCTTACCAATATTAATCTTAGATTAAAAAAAACTGAAATATATTATTCTCTAATTATTAAATGTATATGTTTTGTCTAACTTAAACACTCACTAAATATACTTAAATTTATTCAAGTTTAATATTAAAACTATAATAAATGTGTAATAGAAACTTTCATAATTATATCTTTGAGGTGGATTTATATATATTTTTTAAAATATTTATTAGGATTGATTTAATCATGATCCAATTTTATTTAAATATTATTACTAATTTATTTGGATAAACTAAATAATTAATTAATTCTGATAAAAAACAATCAGTCTCTTCCAAACTTGATTATTATTCATGATATTTTGATTGATATATACCGTTATATTACAATATATTTATTTTGTTTATGAAATGTATGGGTTGCTATGAGCTCTTTTATGGAATTTTTTTATGAAGAAAAGTCACGCAATAATCCAAGACTCATATTTGGTTCTTTCAATTGATATTTAGGTAATGAGAGGAGATAAGAAAAATCAATGCCTTTTTAATGGATAAAAAAATGTCATTTTCTAACTAAAGAAGAAACTTATGGTGATGTATTGGTCAAATTAGTAGTTACAAAAAGACCCGATCTTTGGATACTTTGAAAGTGATTTCTCTGGAAATCTATCAGCTGCGTTTTCATTTTCTTTTCTTTTCCATTCAATTTACACTACTAATGGTCAAAAGGGTTTGCGATGATTCTGCCAACCCTCTTATCACGCTGCTAAGACTATTCTCAACTCTTGAATTCTTCAATTACAAAATATAATTAATTTTCTTCAAATTCAGGCAAAAAAAAATCTGAAAGTTTATTAAAAAGAGTAATTTTTATTTTTATATTTTAGCTAATACAAAAAGTAAAGAAAACCATTTAGTATATAACGTGTTAAGTTGATTTGTCTGTAACAAACTTCACAATTTTACGTAGTTTTATGAGTTTTATACGTGAAGAGCATGTGAAGGTGAATATAAAAGTTTGAAGTGGCTGATTATCGTGCTTAATGATTGTAATAAAGTAACTTTTGTAAGATATAATATATTTTTCTTATTGTTTATGCCATAACTTGTGGGTTCAATATTTGTGTGGTGTCTTTTGATGCGGAGATAGTAGCGGAAAAGGGAAATTGGGATGCCTATGCGTGCAATTAGGGAAGTTTCTTTGCTTTCAAAATGAAAAAGAAAGTCACATTAATGATGTGCTTCTTTGTGGAAAATTGTGTGCATGAATAATGGTGATGGAAGAAATATATTTGCATTCATTAATATAAAAATGTTGTCATTTCTTAATTTCTCACAATATGATAAAACATTATTTCAATTTTTTATGTTTAGATATGCTCATATTTTTTACTAGTTTGTGTTTCATTGTTATTTGATATTTTCCTTTGTTTGCTTTCTTGACAATGTTAGGTTAACATGATATTAGGCAGAATTGGTGGAAAATGCATATGCTTTTACGTGGTGAATGGGGCACAAACCACATTGATCATCATTTACTGGGTTAGGCAATTTTTAAGTCTGAATGGCACCATGATTAGGTCACTGACCAACCATTTCAGTTTTTTTGGTCAATCTTTTGCCATTTAGTTACAAAATGTCACATTCACAAGCACACTGACAAATTCTCTCTTTTGGGGTCAAGAATGTAGGTTAAGTGAGAAACACAGGGTCAACCATCAACTTCCATACCAACACACTTAAAAAGGACTGATTTTGTAAAATTGTGAATTATAAGGTCTAGAATTGTAAAAAAAAATAGGGAGAGCCAATTGGTTGACCAAGAATTAAATGAAGACCAAATTATAGTTCAGTATAAAAATATTTGAAAAACTAATTTCGGCAATATAAAAAAGTGAGACGACTGAAAAGAAAGGCAAAAGGGCCACAACTTTCTTCCTTTTTTTTCTAGGTTTAAATTAAAGCCCAATCTTGCAAATTTGAAAACCCAATAGTGCAACAAGTGTAAATGAGTCAATGTATAGTTCCAGTGTGGAGGAGTAAAATGAAATAGGACAACACCAAAAAGGCTTAAAAGAACAATTATATGGTTTTTTTCTTCCTGCGCCCCTATAAGTTTTTTAAAACGCCATTTTACATATTGCAAATGTGATTTCGGGAGAATCTCTGTTCTAGAGAGATTCTGCAACAAGTTTTTTAAAACTTCTGGAACAGAATTTTCATAATAAAATGTTTGAAAAAAAAAATTCAAAATCAAGATTTCTAGAAACCTACAAAACGCCTTTTAGATTGAATTTTCCAAAACATAATTTTCAGACAAAATAATTTAACGAAAGTTTTTCACAAGTGTAGCATTTGTGTAATTTATTTAATAATTTTTCTTTGCATTTTTTAATTTTCTGATAATTATGTCTGATATTCCTCAGTTGATAAGCCGTCAACGATATTACAACAAAGCATTAAAACTAACATACGATATATCATTAAAAACTATTACAACGACAAGCACTAATTTTGATTCGTTTAGTTTCTTTGTCATGGTTCTGTAACCATAACATAGTCGGTGAATTCACGTGACTTACACAAATGGTAGCAAACCGAACATATGTGTGAGAGCTTTTTCACGAATCAGACACTTTTACACAAAAATTCATTCCCTTTGCCATCGAACTAAAACTTCTCAACGTACTTATTCACATCTCATTTTTCATTATTTCTGTTTCGTTAGTATTTTGGTCGTATGAAAGCAAGGGTTGAAGTATGGCAGAATACGAATATGACTGTAGTTGGGTTGAAAGTGAGTCCTGCCATTTAGCCCAAGAGTTTATACAGGGCCTAGCCCATGTTGACCAAGTGTGCAACATTTGAAAGGGAAAGGAGCATCTTAGAGTGTGGCACACTAGCCTCTAGCTTTGACCAAACCATGTTATACTCTCAAAGCTTTACTTATTAAGCATGGGCTAGGCCTCAGTACTGACAACTCAGGCCTATAACACTCCCCCAGATTTGTTCATTGCACCTTAAAAATGTTGCTCAAATTAAAGGAAGAAGGAAAACAAGAATGGAAAAAGAAGCTAATTTTGATTGATTTCTCTACTTGTTAGAGCATATTATCATACAAAGGAACCCTTGGAGCCTACTATTTCCTATATCTCAGTACTGTACATGCGCAAAGCCTAGCTAGTAAAAGATGAGACCCTTATGTGCAGTCCATTTGGTGCCACAACTCTAGGAAACTTCATTAGTTTATCTCCTCCTACTTCTTCCCACCTGCAATCAACATTAAATATCACATGTCAGAAACTGCATGTGTTTATCAAAACAGACAAACCATTGTTTTATTAATGTGTAGGATCAGTAACATCAAACAAACGAATTTGGATGTGATGGATGCTGATCAGGCAAAGAGATCAATTCTCTCACCTGTATCTTGTTACAAAGTAGTGCAAGAAAGTGGAAATTTCTGCTATCCCTAACTCCTTCCCTGGACATTGTCTGGTGCCCCCTCCAAAAATCAAGAAGTGGCTTTGTGACTCCAGACTGTTACCCTGCATTTTGCAGTTCCTCATTAATTATGCTGCCTTTTCACTTTGCTACCCTTTATGTTAAAACGTTAATTACAAACGGAAAAGGTGTAGGTTGTGTTACAAACCAGCCATCTCCATGGATTGAAGGTCAGTGGATCATGATACAGAAATGGATCATAGTTGATCTCTCTTGTGTATACATATATCCTCCACCCTTTAGGAATCAGATACCCTGAAAACAAACAGAAAATACTCCGATAAGTCTCTTGATTTCAATAAGAATATACCAGGTGACACATACTGCTTTTGAAATAAAGTAACATTTTTTTTTGTAATGGCATCGTTCTTCATTTCCATTGTGACTCAAACATTAAAAAGTTTAAAGTGGTTAGGAAGTTTGTCTCTCGGGTAATACCATGTGTACAATTACATTATCCTAGGGATAAATTTATTTGCCGGGTGCTTTGTAAGAAGTTTTGTTGAAGCAGAAAAAGTTGACCCCAAAAGTCAAAAACTGCTTCTTGAGCCCATAAACCTAACTCTATACAACAAAAGCTTGAGACATACTACATAACATAACCCACCGTTTAGCTCCATGTCGTGAGTTGTTTTTCTTAGAACCCCGTTAACTATTGTTGCTAATCTCGAGGTCTCGAAAATCACCTGCAAAAGGGCAGAGATGACAAACAAACAACATAAATACTGTGATCAAAGATTCAACACGGTTGCTGAAAAGAAAAACAGAAAAGACAGATCAAACAATGACATTAAATGAAAAGATAGCAGCATCTCACCGCACGAGTAAACCTCATTGACTTGAGATCATTACAGTCAATTGGATCCTCTGGCTTTTTCCTTTCCCTTATGGCAAAATGCTCTTTCTGCATTCAGTGTTATCACAGTCAGGTCAGAATATAATAAAGCGAAAACAACATACCTAGAGAACATGGGAATTTTTGCACTCACTCTGATTTCTTCAAGAACTTTGGGATGGTCATGGAGATACTTCACTGCCATCATCGATGTGGTTGAAACAGTTTCGTAACCAGAATACATAATAGTAATAACTAAATCAATGATTTCCTCATCAGTTAGTTTGTATCGGTTTTCATCTCTATTCATCAAGCAACCCAGCATGTCCACGTGGGATTCTTGGGATGCTATCCTTTCCTTCAGCAACTGACTCAGAATGCTGATAATACTTTTCCTTGCCTACAAGACATTAAAGCGCACATATCAATGTATAGTCTACGAAATAGAATGCAATGTGATTACAGAATGTTATATATTTGTAAAATTTGAGTGTTGAATTGTTAAAGTGATTTTGTCCATAACTTCTGATTAAATTTGACTTTAAATGAAGAAATTATGTTTTATTTTAAAATGGTTTAATCATAAAAATTCAGTATTGTTTTTCATTGGATGCTTTACAAAAGTTTTTTCAATTTTCAACTCAGATAAATTTGAACCATATTATCTTCTTAACATGAGACCAAACACATAAAAACATATACCAAACCAAAAATATCAGTAGATAAATTCAATGTGAAATCAAACAGGGAGCAATATCAAGCACCAATGGTTAAAGATGAAGGACCATACCTGCAATCCACCGCGATAATTTGTGCCAGGAAGGTTAATAGGCAAAGAGAGTGTTCCCAAAACTAGTTTGAAGAACTCTGTCATGAAGGGTTGAGCTATTGAGCTGGATTCCATACCAGCAATCTGCTTCAGGGAAGAGAGAAAAGCCATCTGTTCCAAATATTTGAGTATCAGTACTTGAAAAAATTCTGATAACTTTTCCTGTTAAACATTGAAGTCTATTGAGTTTTGAATTGATGGTGATACAAACCTCTTTAGTTTTCTCCTGGATGTTTATGACTTTGTTATCCCAATCAATCAAGTGGGTTCTCATGAACTCATCAATTTTCGGTAAAAGCTGATCCCTGATCAAGGTGGGGCTAATAATTGAGAGCAGTGCCCCTCTCATGTACTTGTGAGTGGAGCCATGAACAGCTGCAATATTGCGTGTGCCTAAGATATCTAACATGGATTGTGGGTACCCAGGAACAAGCCCTTTTGCTTCATTCATCAGTATGAATCTGTTCAGCTCCGGATCCATGGATACAATGGTAGGACACCCCAGAATGTGAGATTTGAAAAAACTGCCATACCTGCCATTCACAAAACAGAAGAAAAAAAAAAGTTGTAATCACAACCAATTAGGTAAAAGACCAAAAGTACAAGAATGAATAGTATTTACCTCACCCAGTTTAACTAGTTTGAGGAAAAATATTACTAAGATCATGTTCTGTCCAACAGGTATGCTTTTTTTCGTGCTATTCCTATTAAACTTTTTTTTAACAATCTCCACAATCTTCTTTTTTTTCCATATCTCCATCACATCAATTATATATCTCTATTTGTTCTACAAAAACAACTATACCAAAAAAATTGTTGTGCATATCCAATGTCTCCTTTTTCATTTCACACGTTGATGATGTGAGTGCCATTCATCAGGGACAGTGAGAGTTTATCTTTCCCTGGATCTTCACGTCTATGCTTTATAACCCTACCCCACTTTCCTCTTCTCTTCACTCCCAGAACTACAACGCAAGTAGTAGTTCACTGATTTTTACTCAGAAACAACGTTCATCGGCATCTCTTAAACCACTTCATGAGTGAACAGCCACAAGCTATTCCTCATGAAAATGCAAGATGCCAGGCGCAGTACATGCCATATCCTTAATTACTGTGACAAAATCACAGTGTCATGCAGGGGATGCTGATGAAACAGCTTTCAATGAAAAAAAGGCTAAAATATGCAACAAATCATGCTCACTCAAAAAGCACAAGACTTTCTCAAACTTTCACCAACGAAACTTTCTCCACTTACACAAACGAACCAAACAAGACTTATTTGAACACATGCACATAACTACGAGGAAACAAGAACATATGAAGTTACCTTGCCCTCTTGTTCTTCATGAAGTTTGGACCTTGCTTGAGAAACTCGGTTGTCTCCCCAAAAACTGGCCAACCCATTGCGCCAGGAGGCAAGCCTTTCCTCCTGTATCTCACTCCATTCCACTTCAAGAGAACAGAGCAAAAACAGAGCACCAACACAACAACGCCAAGAATTGCCATGAACAAAGCCATTGGTGCCTTCAAGAAGAGACTTGAAGATAGCAACAGCCTGCTTCAGTTGAAGTCACGAGAAGTGCACCAACATACACACATATATATATAGGTCCTTGAGCTACCATTTGCATATAACAAGAATAGCTACATAGAAAAAAACCGCCACTCTATGGTCTAGTGGCATCCCCTATTGTAGGCCTTGAAGATTAAAAAAATTGAAAAGTGAAGACACAGAGAAAAAAGAAAATGGATTGGAGATTATAGGGTAGGAAAAAAGGAGTTGCCTTTTGGAGAGGATGTCAGGGGAGTGCACAACTCAACTCAGCAGACATTAGCAACCTACAATGATTTGTGTATAAAAAATACAGATTTTAAGCCAGAAACCTTTGTTGCCTTTATAGAAGGAAGAGAAGGAAGAGAAGAAAGGAAGGGTCGGTTGGAAGGATGTTGATTGATGATTGTTCAATGAAGTATATAACAGTAAACTATTTACTGAGCCAAGCTTCTTTTTGTATAAGGTTTTGTTGGATTTGGGTTACATTGGATGGAAAAAGCCTTTTTTTTCTTTCTTTATCTTTTGAATTATGTAACCCAGAGGAATAACATTATTGCTACTTTCATTTTGACTTTATTTTCTCTAAGTTATGAGTGTTCATTCTTAATTATAACAGTCTGAGGATTATTTTACTTTGTCGATAGTTTTAATGTTATATAACAAACCATGTTAAAACTTAAATGATAAATTGTCATATGATAGGTTGATATATATACTAGGTGGTGATTACGAATTTGTATATATCATGGAGATCTCCACAAATAATTGTAATATCTCTTTTGCGAATTAGCCTTTGACAAAAATAAAATCAAGAAAAAAATAGTAACTTATCTTTCTAAAAAATTGTTAGTTTCTTACAAAACTAGAATTATTCAATTTCAGTCAATCAAAAATTGCTTTTTGGACAAGTTTAAACTTGTCCACGTTGAAATTTCATTTTTCTTCTCGTGCTACTGTAATTCCTAGAGAATCATTCAACTGTGTTCTTCGTCTTTTCGATTGTTCAGTCTTGTGATATTTCAGAATGAGTAAACAAGTACAATCAGATGCATCATCTCAATCATGTTCATGAAAATAATAAAGAAATACGAAGAGAAAAATAAATTCAGGTTTAGAACGTATATATCGTTTAATAAATGAATTTATGTTTAATTCAAACTCATATAATTACGTCCGTTTATATATTATAATCTGATTTTATTCTTAATCCATATAAGATCTTCCATAGACACATCTACCTATTAAATATTTACATGTATCACATAAGTCATAATCAATGAGAGATAAACCTTGCCATTTATATCTTAACCAACATGAAGTTCATCATGAAACTTGTTACCGTCCCAAGAAAGAAACATTGTAATATATACATCCATGACTGATGATTTTTATCTCAATTATGTGATTTGTCCTGTAAATAGGAGCAAAAAATTAAGCATTTGTAGCTACATAGATAAGTACTTAGTTTTCTGCTAATCACGTCTGGCTGAATTAACATAATTTTTTAAAGATGGTTACTGATTACCCTTCACTATTCGATTTTTGGCTCGTTGTAGATTACGAAAATTTGCATGGTTGAGATAATTGAATTTGATTTTTAATTTTCAAAGATGCTTATCGATTAGCTATTCAGTTTTGGACTTCTTGCAAAAATTTGCATGGTTGAGACTTGATAGGATGCACAGTAAGGAATTTTTTATTTGAAATTATTAAAAAAAAAGTTTACATAATAATAATAATCGTATTTTATGTATTTTAATAAAAATAATTCTACTTCTGATTTCGTAGTATCTTAAGAACACCACTTAACATTTGTCTTTCGCTTTAGATAATGATATAATAACTAATGAATTAGTTTTTGTTTCGTACAGTACATACTATTGGATCAATTCTTCCATATTTTTGTAAAAAGTGTTTGGAAGTTAAAATAGTTTTTACTAATAATATTACATAAAACCTGACAGTTTGTCCTTAAAAAAACAAAAGGAAAAGAAACAATAGAAAACCGATGCAAAAAGTGCAGAAAACGATCGAAAAAGAACATCAAAATAACTGTCGATGTTTTAGAATAAGAATAAATAATGTACGCAATAATGTTGTAAAATATTTTTATATATAGTGTTATTCAATAATAAGTTGTAAAAATAATTTATAATAATTTTTTACTTTTACATAACTATCCCAAAACTTCTTTTTTTCTTACTGGCTGCTTTCATAAAAGCTTCACTATCACATACCACAAATTTTCAACTCGGACCAATTTTATTATTATGTCACTGTTTTTTAACAATCTTATATCATTTAAGATTAAAAAAAGTAAAATAAAATATATGATATAATAAAGAAAAAAACTTACCAAAATGTTTTTTCAAATATAGTTCAACGCTTTTTAGAATATTAAAAACATTGCAATTTAAGACAAGAAGCATAAACAAGTCCATCAAGTTAAGTCTGACAATTGGTCAAATAGATTTATATAAATTATAAATCAATAAATTATATTCTGATTTTAAGAACGTGGAAGAAAGAAACTAAAGAAAAGGGAAACTTTTAATAAAATGTGGGAGAATTTTTTTAATATTTTTTTATTAACATGGTGAGAACCCTTAAACATATGAAGACTGTTTGAAATAGATTTTTATCCTTAAAATCGTGAAAATTAGAAACCTTAAAGAAAATGAAGAAAGAAGAAAGGGTTTGGTCCCTGTACACCGACTGAACATTGGACATTAACCGTACAAAAGATGGTAGCCAATCAAAGTCATTCGATGAAGATGAGATGAATAATGCCATGCCATCCTATAATAAAAACTGTCACTTTCTTCTTAGTATTGTTTTTTCTTTTATATGTTTCTCCTTAGTTTTATTTGTAAAATATGTTCAATACTATTCCCTCTTCAAAACACTTCAATCACAAATCAATAAGTATTGCTTGTTAAGGAAACCATGGTACTGGATCTCAGGCCAACCATGTATCACTAGAAAGAAACACTTCTCCTTTTATTAATTTTATTGTGTTTTTTTAGTTTCCTTCTTTATCATTCTCCCATCCATATTCATGGAATTAGATACACAATCAATGCAAATCCTAGGGATAGTTTCGCACAAATTCTTCATGGACCATATTTAACATTTGCTTACTATCTTAGTTTTTAATTTTCTTTTTCATTTCCATTAATAAATCATGGATTTTTAGAAAAATGTTAACTAAAATAAATACAATATTAATGAGACATAAATTCAAATTACATAAAAAAAAATGGACACCACCTTCGATGCAAAACATTAAAGCAATGACTTTTTTTCTTTAATATAATGTTTAATTTTATCATATTTATCCAATATGGAACTTAAAGTCACGTTTGGATTGGGTTTCTTCTACACTAATAGCGAAAGTATCCTCAACCACACATATGGATTGGGTTTCTTCTACACTAATAGCGAAAGTATCCTCAACCACACATATTTCTTAATTGTACCGTTATTCATTTTAGCGGGACACACTTACTTAAACTCTTTATTAAAAAGATTTTCGATACAAAAATCATAGTACTCATATGACTTAACCACCAATATTAACTCTCAATCCTATGACCATTTACGGGTCCTTAGAAAAAGATTTAGTAGAAAAATACAATACCAATAAGATTTGAATACAAATCATATAAATGATCAACAACATTTTTAACTCAAAATATTAAGATAATGGATTTATTAATTTCCATCCATATCCAGTGCTCATACATTAAATGTAGTATTTGTACTCACACTTGTGTTATCAACATTATATTTGATTTTGAACGATCACTAAATATAGTAAGACACACATAATTGAAAATTTATCTTTAATGAACATGAAAGAAAAAAAAAATAGTTTTGTCTTGCTTGCGTATCAAATTATTATTGACTAAAACCACATGTGACATATGAGTAAGAAGTTATCGTTATTGAGTAGAGTTTGATGATTGATATTCTACGTAGAAGTACGAGAGGATCACGGCTCTAACATGATTCCAATAAGAGGTGTGATTTTCTGGTTAACATAGATTTCTTTGCTCAATCGTGGTATTGTTTTTTTGACTAAATTTGCACGAAGAAGAGGACATGTCTTCAAGTGGTATAAAAAGGTTAGATTGGATGGTGACCAAAAGAAAAGTGTGGATCCACGTAGAAAGATTTGACACCAAACAATGAACATCTTCTTCTCTCATATCATAAATTACTGTATATAATCATTTTCTTTTTTCTTTTCATCTTTCATGTGTTTCATATTCTTGGTTTCTTTTTGAAAAATTAGACATTTACGTCTACCTTCAAATATATTAATGTTAATTCACTAATACTTGTGCATATGAATTACATATTTAATATAAAGAATGTTTTAATATTGTTCACAAATTGAAATTTTATTCTGAGAAGAGCATTTTCGCTGGGAATAATTTTGTTAAAACAAGTTACGACCAAAGTAAAAAAGTTCGGAGTTATAGTAAAAATAAAAGTACTTCATTTTAAGTTTGTATTTGTGCAGTTTGCATGCACAATTACCATGACGTATGTTGCTCCATGGAATAATGATTATCATAAATTTTAGTTCTGTGTATATGATGATTTAAACGAAGTGGATTAGAATATAAATGTTAATATTTCAAATTATATTTTAAAGATATAAATTAGATTTAATTTTTAGTTATTTGTTTATGAAAGTCACTATTGTATTTATAATATATCTTCTTCTTTTTTATATTCTTTCCAACTTTTTAAAGTGGGTTTTTTTTATCAATTAGATTTCATCATTGAGGAGGTGATTAAGTATAGACTTTTTCCAGCTAATTAATGAGAATTTGATTTTGAATTAGTCCTTCTTTTCCTTTAAAGACTCTCAGTTTCTTATCCTTGTGCTCCTATCTTGATTATATTTGTGAGTATTTGATATTTTGCCATTTCAATCAATTAAAAAAGTTGTTATTTTAATTGGTCCAACTTTTTGTTTATGTTTTGATTTGTTAGGTGTAATTTTCAAGGTCTTTATGAAAATTTGGTATAATTTCATCTCTTTTTTCTTAGAGTTGTTATTACTCGAAAAACGTGAAATTATTAGTCATGAGGTTAAGTCGTATTCTTTTGTGTGCTTTTTAAAATTTTTGTCAAAAGGACCTTTAATTGTTTGCAAAATTGTGAATTATTGAATTTTGAGATTGGTTTTGGATTCCTTAGATTTAATATGGATTAAAACAAGTGTATTTGGCCTAACTTAGATGTTCCTATTGAATATGTGAACTAGTTGATAAATTTGTCCGTTTTATTGTAAAAACAAGTTGCATTTAGTGTGTAATACATGTTAAATATATAGGAATAATTGAATTTGATTTGGAATTCTTTTATTATTTGTTATTTTGTTTATTGTTTTGTTGTTTA